CAGAGTATATCTGTTAGGCGGTTCCTCAGACATCCTTGGCTCATGGATCGCTGCCTCTGGGGCCTGCTATGGGGCGGGGCTGGGGAAAGGTGAAGCGATCAGAGAGGTAGGCCAAAGAACAATGGGCCCCCAACACACCCCGTACCTCCTAAGTACCCCTTCACGGCTTCCGGTTTCCTTCCCCACCTGCACTTTGGGCAGAGACAGTCTTCTTCCTCTTCAGTCACTGGTCCTTTCAGAGTGGCTGCATTCACCCGGCCACCCCAGCTCTAAATTCCCATGGGGCACAGCAGGCCCCCCCCAAAAGTGTAAGGGGCTCTATTGGCCTCAGCAGTGTCCCAAACTACTGTCCACATGTGCTGGACAGGGACAATGACACAGCCACGACCCCACTCTGCAGGGAGTGGCTGGGGTGACTTCAGGGCCTCAGGGGAGATACTGAACTGACAGGAAATTCTGTATTTCTTAGGAGCCAAAAAAACTTGGACTTATTATCTCCAAATGCTATTCACAAAGCAGGCACTCAAAAATGTGTATGTGGTTACTCTAAGTACAAAGGGGTCACCTGCCCCCTCACAGACTCCTGAGGTGCCTGAAGTCACACAGAAGCCCCAAGCTCCAAACCCTACTTGCCATCATCCCCTCCTCCATCCACAAGAATCCTCAGCACCCCTCCCATCACCCTCTGGTCCCTCAGTCCCTGACCCCAAAGACCCAGGGGTGGGGTGCAGTGAGGGTGGGTCTCCCCTCTTCAATTCCTCCTATTGTTCCCCAGAAGTCTTATCTGGGCCCTACGTCCTGTCCCCCCCCTTGCAGAGCCCTCCCCCCATTGTCAGCTAGAGGGACCTCAGGCCCACAGGGAGACTCCAGCTCCTCCTTACCCCCCACCCCAGCAGTCTATTGTCTGCTGAGGAAGCCTAAGTGCGCGTGACCGAGCCCAAGGGACGAATGGACACTGTGGACACACAGATGCACAAGGACCTAGGGCACGACATCTGGACATGGAGCTCTGGCTCTGTCTGTTCCAGAGGGTCTCCCAGAAGCTGGGAGGGGTGAAGACCCCCTTGGGCTCTCCACTCTTGGGTGTGTGGTTTGAAGAGGAATCCCCTTCTGCTCTGTATCAACATGTCTCCTGACCTCTCAGTCAGGAAGGAGAAGACCCAGAGCCAGGAAGGAGCCACAGCCCCAGGAGCTCTTCCCATCCACACTCAGCTGAACATAGGCACCTCAGAAGGAAAGGTACGCTGGGCATCTTGTGCTTTGCATCTGGGTATTGGAGGAACGGTGGGAAGTCACACCACACTGAGCTTTCTGGTGGGGTCTGGGCCAGGGGGTGGACTGGGGAAAGAGAGGCTTGGTAAAGGGGAGGACACATCAAGAATCTAGGGCTTTCCAGTGGCGCCGAGCCCCAGGTCTGGACCAAGAGATGCTGCAGCTGCAGGTGAGGAACAAAGATAGCAATGTCTTTTCTCTCACAGCCTGTCCCCCTGTCCTTTCACCAGACTCCTCCTCAAGTGACCAAGGCCAGCTGATCTCTTCCATACCAATCCGTCCCACCTACCCCACACTAGACTCCCGTTCCCTCTGCCAACACAGCAGCCTTGGAGATATAACAAAACCTTTATTCTCAGAAACCAGGAAAAACAAAGTCAAAAACAAAACCAATAATTTCTGTCTGGCCCCTGCCCCAGCCCTCCCACCCACCCACATCCTCCTTTGGCGGGGACCGTAGACACATGCAGAGGGGTGGGAGCTGAAGGAACCCGGTTTCTAGGGCAGAAAGAAGTTTCTTTGGGTCTAGGTGCTCTTGTTGGAGTCGACATCACCCCCAGCCTTGCCCACCCTCCAGACACATCAAGAGGGAGCAAATTGCAGAGCAGGGCCAGAAGGACTGCCCTGACACTCTCGGCAGAAGAGGTGGCTGAGTCAGCACACCCCCATAGCCTTCACCAGTCACAGCTCATCTTCATCCAGCTTGGCAAGTCTGGCCTGGCAGGGAGGGGTCTTTGGAGTTGGGATTGGAGGAGAGTCAGGAGGTGCCTGGGGGACGTCACTGAGAGCCTGAAGAAAGACTCGAGTCAGAGGATCTGAAAGACCAGAAATCTACACTGCTCTCTTTTCAGCGTAAGCCCCTAGCCAAGCCACCTCCTCTTGCCAGATATCTTAGACTATCTGAGCCTGTCAGCTTCTCCCAGAGCTAAACTGGAGGGGAGGAGGGTAAGGGAAGGATGGGAAATAGGGAGGGGCAGACAAAAATGAATAAATAAGTAAAAGCAGTGGCAGAAAGGAATGGTGTAGGGGAGGGGAGCCTGGGGATTCCAGAACAAGAGAGGCCCTCCCCATCCTACCCCTGCAATCATGGAGCGCTATTCTTCATACCTGTGTGTCCAGGGGCCGGGGGGCTCTGGCCACCTCCCCTTTTGGTAACAGCAGTAGGGCGGGGAGAGAGCCGTTGATGGGGGCGTATGTGCTGCCCTGGGCCCGATCTCCCGGCCTCATTTTCCCAGGGCTCCCAACCCCAGGCCCTCCTGGCCGTCCCAGGCTGTTGGTCTGGCTCTCTCGTCTCTGGTACTCAATGGGTGACTGCAGTGCTGGGGCAAAGAGGAACAGGAGGGTTACAGCAGAGACAGGTGGCTTCCCTGGGGGCTCTGCCTGGGCTGTCCACCCATTCTGCTCTCCCTCCCAAGGACTGTCAGCCAGTGCAAACTGCTCGGGGCTTTAGGGGATTCTACCAAGTCTAGAGCTACCAACAGAAAAGTGGGTGGGGGGAGAAGTCGGGATCAGAGGGCAGGGCTTGGAGGCTGGGCAGTAAGAATTCAAGAGGTCAAACGTGGGAGGAGCTGAGGGAACGAGGATGAGACTGTCACCGTTGAGAAAGTCCCTCTGGCTCTCCAGGATCTGAGCCACTTGCTTGATCCAGGCCTGGCTGATGGCAGGGTCTGCAGCCTGCAGGACGTAGCGCTGGATCCCACCCTCCGGCCCTCTGGAGGTCAGTGCAAAGCGGCAGGGGTCACCTTGGAGGTTCCCCTCCAGTCCTAGGCGGCTCACCTGAATTGGCAGACAGGAGACAGGCCCAGATTCTTCAGGCTCTCTCTGGTTCCTGCTCCCTCCAAGGGATCCGAGAGCCAGACATCCTCTCAGAGGCTGCACCCCTCCCCAGGCCCAGCCCTCTCTGGGTCCCCTTGCACCTTAATGCTGCTCTTGTACACATATGCAGGCTGCGTTCCACCTCGCACTCCTCCTCCCAGGGCCTCGCTGAAGATAATGATTTGCTCAAAGAGGAAGACCCGCCTCTCTCGACCCCGGGAAGAGAGCAGCCCCCCAGCCTCAGGTTCCGTCACCCAGAATGTGTCCTGGCCCAAGAGTTTCCCCTGAGCAGTCAGTTTGCCCTGGAACCAAAGGAGAGTGGCCTTCGAGAAAGAACAAGAAGAGACAAAGGGCAACTTCCCTCCTCTGACACTCCCAACCAACCATGGGGAGAAGAGAATTCCCTGGAAGGACCTCCAGAGTGCTAAGCCCTGGGCCACCAGCCTCCTGCCCCATCTCCATACCTCAAATCCCCGCAGTCTCCCCAGGGTCATCATGTCATTACAGCGCTTGGGCACGAAGCACATGACCTCCACAGCTTGCTGGGACGCAGGTGAGAGAGGGGCGTTGTGGGGCGAAGACAGTCATGCTTGGGAAAGAGGCCTCAGCCACCAGCTGCCTCTTCAGACTGTATCTCAACCCCCACCAGCTTCCCCCCAAAGACCAGACAGCTCTAAACCACCCAAGGGGCTGAGGGAACCCACGAGACTAAGAGGATAAGGAGTACAAGGCGTGTCCTGGAAGACCAGGGGTCCTCACCTCCAGTTCCTCGGTGTCCTTCCCGGCTCTACTGTAATACTTGAGAAAATCCTAAGACACAGAGAAGAAATTCTCAGGGAGGTCGCAAGGACACCCTCAGAAGCTCACATCCTCCTTGGGGACACAGGTGAGGGTGCACAGGAAGTCTGGGGGAGGCTTAAGAACCATGGATAGATGAACAAGAAAACAGCTGTCCCAGCCAGCTGTGCCCCCTGGAGAAAAAGGGGTCCTGACCTTGAGCAGCAGCTGGTATTTCATGATCCGCTGCACAGGTTTGATGAGGAGGTCATTGAGCTGCAGGCGGTGCCCCAGCTGCTGTCGGAGCTCCTGGGGACAGGGACAGGGTGGTTATGCAGCCTGGAGTGCCTGCTCTGGCGGACTCTGTCCTCTGTGTCCCCAAACACCTCAGCTACTGACCTCAAAGTAGCTGTCCCCAAACTCTGACACCACGTGCTCTGACTTGGGCTTGTTCTGACAGTACACCACGTACATATGCAGCCTGCGCTCCTAACAGGGGTAAGGTTTAAGACAACAGGGTGGGCAAGGAGGGAGGGTACATTTCCAGAGAGCCCTGACCCATCCCTAAGCCTCTCCCCCTGAGCCACGCCCCCTCAAGCCTCACGTGTTTGATGAATAGCTGAGCCAGCCAATCAGGATCTTTCAAGCATCGCTGTAGCTCCTGCAGGAAATAGCTGGAGGGGTGGATGGAGAAAGGGAGGCCAAATACGTTTCAGAACCCCCACCTCTCCTACGCCCCCCAACTTTGAGTTACCTGCTCTAGGAGTGCTCCCTACAAAACTGCAAACATTCTTTAGGGCCAATGATTGGGATACGGAGGTGAGAGACAACCAGATGAGTGCCCCTCCCCAGCACCTGCCTCCCAGGGCTCCACCACTCACTCTCGGTGCCACTCATAGATTTGCTGGATGTTCCCAAACACAATCCTGTCACGGCCTCGAAGACTCTCGGGGACCCCCTGAGCAGCCATGGTGGCTATGTAACCCTGTGGGAAGGTTGCGGTTGGCGCGTGAGCTGATGGAGGGAACTGCCCTCCCAAGAAGTCCAGGAGTAGGGAGGATTGAGAGTGGGGACAGAGGAGCAACAAGACACCTCCTGGAAACAGCCCCAGGCAGAGAAGATGGGCAGGTGGGCTAGGGCTGGGAAGGGGTAAAGGGAGCTACCTCCACAATCTGCCCCAAGTCGTCCACGTACATTTTCTCTGTTTCTACCAGTTCGCTCAGGACATACCTAGGAAGGGAGCAGGAGGGTGTCCCCGCTTCACCGTCTGGGCACATCCTTTGTTTAGCCAGTTCCTCCCTCCTCAACTAGAAGCCCCTTCATCACCATAGCCAACCTTAGAGGGAATTCTGGCTAAAGTGTGAGGAGCAGTCTTCTGGAAGTTGTGCAATTAAGAGGCAGGGAGGTAGACACTTACATACTCCTTTCCAGAGCCTTCTTCTTATGTTCCTCCTCACTCTCGGGGGCTTGGGACAAAGTCTCCTCTTCAGGTAGCTGGGAGGAAAGAACATCCCTGGGTGAGCAAGTGGGTGCATCTCAAGTGCGGGGGGCATCCCCAGAGCCTCTTCCTCACACCTGTGTCTTCTCTCCTGGGCCCTCCAGCAATGTGGTCAGCAAGGTGAGTTCTGGCAGCTCCTCTCCTGTGGCTAGAGCTGACTCTAGCATCCAGTTCTGGGGGCCAGAGGCCAAGTGTCAGAGGTTGGGGACAGTAGCTGGGTCTCCTCAGTGACCAGTGGCCCCAACTTGCCCTCTCTCCCACTGTCCTTCGTGGAAGTCCTTTGTGCTTCCGTGGCGCTCCCTGCTCACCTCACATGGCCCTGCTTGACCGCCGTCTGCCTCCGTTTCCACACTGAGACAATGTTTGGAATGATCCAGCCATCTCCTCAGGCCACTGACTGGCCCTGGGGGGCCCGGGGAGCAGGGGCGAGAGCTGAGGCCGGAGCTGGGGCCAGAAGGAGCAGCCAGACCGGAGGCAGCGGAAGCCGATATACTCCCCTCACTGCCAGCAATGGAATAGGATTCTAACGGAGGGTGAAAAAGAAAGGAGAGAGACATTGCCCCAGCTCCAGACCCAGGGTCCTCAGGGAACTCCCAGGGGCTCCTGGCTATGCTGCCAGCCCCTCCCACCATCCTCATCTGAGTTGGCCAAGATAGAACATTTCACCAGGGCACCCCTGGGAGGAAGGACAGGGAAGTAAACACCTGGCTCCGCGGCCTAGAACCCCCAGGAACATGTGGAGGGTCCCATATCCTGAGCAGAGCACAGATACGGGGGTGGGGGCAGCCATCTGGGCAGACACTGGAAGCTGGGGGTAGCCATCTGCTCTCCTACAACCCTCCCCCTTCCAATGGGTACAGACCATTCCCTGGGAAGGGGGGGAGGAAGCCAAGTCCATCTGCCACTCCCAGACCCCTCCTCCACCAATTGCAGTGTTCATTATAAAAAGAAAAGACTGAGGCAGCCCACCTCCCCAGCACTCACACAGACCCAACCCAACGGAGGAGGCCACCAGGAGCGCGCCTCAGGGTTGTCTCTGGCCTGGGCTCAGAGACGGAGAACTGTGATTCTTTATAAAGCCCCTTGCAGAACTCCTCATTCTCATTCCTCCATCCCCCTGTCCCTCTTCAGAAGTCGACCCTCAGCAAAAGGATGTGAGGGAAGATCCCCGTTCCCGGCCTGAAGGGACTGTGGGCGGGTTCTTCTCGTATCCATCCGACTGGTGGAAAGCATGAGGCCCCTGCCCCTTCCCCTGTTTCCTTAACTTGAACTAACAGAAATGTGGAAGCAGAAGGGACCTTGGAGGGCATCTCTTAAGTCACTTTCCTGGAAAACACACGCACAGTCTCCAGCCCTAAACCTCTAGGCTCAGGGCTCACAGAAGCCCTACACCCCCGGCCCGCCCCCCACTCAGCACTGGGCCCTTTGGACCTCGCACTCACCACGTCCCCCCCGAGCGAAGCAGCA